GGGGTCTGTGGGGGTGAGCACAGCTGTCCTGTGCGTGATGGGATGCCCTTCCGCCCCATCCCCTGGGGGAACTTCTGGGCGTGCAGCATTACCACATGCCCTACCTATGCAGCTGGCCTGCCCTCCCCACCAGGGTCCCGCCCCCAGGGTCCTTTCCCATCCTCACACACACCCTGGGTGGACGTCCTCCGTGAGTGGGTTGTTGTGGGGCCTCCGCCTGGTCACTAAACCCTTGAGGATTTTCCTCCCCAGCGCCTCCTTCAGCCGCCCTTCCTCAGATGAGCACCCCTCTCTACCCCAGTGCTGTCCAGGGGAGCCGCCCCCTCGGACACCTGCGTGACTGAGTCCATGGCCACAATGTAAAGCACTGGTCTCACTTCCAACGGGAGGCCCCTTGGTGTCAGCCTCCCCTGCCTGGGCTGAGTGGCCTCTTCCACTATCAGGGTCTCCCCGGTCCAGTTCCTTGTCTCACTGTTGTTGGGGCTGCACCCACACGGCCCAGGGTCTGTCCTGGAGGGATTTCAGAGGGAGTCCAGATGCTGCGGAGGCTCCTCCCTGGCCCTGTACCCAGCTCAGTGCCAAGGGCCTCACTTCACAATGGAGGGATGAGGCAGAGAGGGAAACGCTGCCCAACCCCCAGAGTGGGAGGCCAGAGTAGATTCACTGAGGAAGCTGCACACGTGGGAGAAGGAGAGTCCCCCGGCACCACCCCTCCCACTCTGGAGGCTCCGGGTGGCCCCATCCCGGCCTGCCCGTGGGGACGCAGGAAGCTGGCAGTGTCCAGGGCAGATGTGAGGTCCCAGGGAAGGAGCAGGGGCCCTGGGGCCTCTTCAAGGAAGGGAGGTGCCCAGAGGACTTGCCCGGCTTGGGGGAGCCGGTTTCTATGAGGCTTCTCATAGCCCAGAGCCAGTCCCTTCTCCGCCTCCCTCACTGGGTGTGAGCTGAGCAGAGCATTGGGGGTGGATGGGAGACATGAAGATGGGAGACATGGTCCATTTCAGCTAAGTCCCCAGGGGTTCTGTGTGTGGCCCATGCTACAGATGAAGAACCCAGGGCTCGGGTGGGCAGATATGGCCTGTCTGAGGACATGCACCTGCAAGGCTCCCAGCCCGGTGCTGCTCCCTGCCCCCACCTGGGAGGCCAGGACCATGGGTCCACAGGCCTCCAAGGTCATTCTGGGCAGCTGACTGAGGCCTAGAAGATGCCAAGGAGGGCTGGTGCCAAGAGGAGCTCTAGAAGACCCCTCTCACCCTCTGTTCACTATCCTGGCATCACCCACCCAGCCAGGACCTGTGTCTTGGTTTCATGAGCACAGGATGGGACAGGTCAGGAAGAGACACTTGAGGACAAGAGCAGGAGACATGCAGTGCATGTCTGCCCCAGTAAGGGAGCCAGTATGGAGGCCACATTAACCAAGGTGAAGTGCCCAGAACATAGGAGGTGATTGTCCTGTAGGAGTTCCATGTATCAGAAAGAACAGTGACAAACTGAGGCAAATGCAGGAGATGCACTTCAAAGGCTAAAGACATGGGTGTTTGTCTTGGACTTGGGGGCTGGGAGAGCATTTTCCCTTCCCTGTGCTTCCCTCCAGCCACACTGGCCTTCTGCAAGCCACCCCCCGCCGCCGACTCCTTCCCCCGCCTCAGGGGTTCAGCTTACCACCCCCCACCTGGAATGCCCTTCCTCTTGGCATGCGGGCCCCTGCCTGTCCTTAGGGCCTCAGCTTGAAGGTGGCCCTTGGAGGGCCCTGCCTATCCGCCCAGTCTGAACTGGTTGTTGTCCCCCGAGCTGTCTGCTGTCTCAGCTCCCTGGGCGCAGGCTTCCTTCCCAGCCTCCTGGATATGTGAGCGCTCTATGCATGCTGCTGGGATGCAGGCTGGTCCATAATTGCACCTAGCACGGGGCTTATGGATGTTTGTTGAATGAACCTCTCAATCAAGGAAGGAAGGGATTTGAAGAGAAAGGAGGCCTTGTCTCTGCTTCCCAGTGGGGGCGGTGGGGGGGGGGAGCGGCGGCAGACCAAGGGCCAAAGAGTGGCTTGGTATGGAGGGCACTGTTGGCTAAGGGAGGCCTCCGTGGGGAGACACAGCGATGCTGGACCCCAGGGTCGGATGGGGTGGGGGTGGGGAGGGCATCGTCCTGGGCCACTTTGTACTCATAGACCTGCTCATGCTCCCATCCCAGAGTTCTCTCCCATCCACCCAAATGTGGTCTCCTTTGGTCTCTGGCTGTGGTGGAGGGCCCAGGCCTGGCCAGCCGCTGTGAGGAAGGACATCCTCCCACGGAGTCTGGGTGAGGAAAAGCTCAGCCTGGATGCCGCCCAGCCAGGAACTTTGCTCTACACAATGGTGGTTTGCACACACCTCTGCTGAACTCGCGCACAGCAGCGCCTCCCAACTTTGTTAATGGAAACCCGGTGATCCGTAACCGTGTGGCAGACATCTGCTCGGGGGTAATGTGGTGGTAATGTACATATCGGTGATCAATCAGCGGATTTGCAAGAGAGGCATAAAGTATTTAATTAGACGTGTGCTGGGCGAGTCTGCGTGGTGGCGGTATTTGAATAGGTCAGAGCCGACCCTCACCCCTGCAATGTTGTTTGGGATTAAATGCCACTCACTTGAAAGACTGGAAGACCTGCCTGAGTTGTGGGATATCACACGCTGGCAAATTGAAAATGTCCCTTCGCTTTTAAAAACATGATTGATATCCTTTGCAAAACAAATGTTATGCCTCATAGTACACGGACCTCGCCTGTCTGGTGCCACCCCTTTGCTCGCCGGCAGCCGGTGAGCACCTGCCCCAGACCCTGTGCACAGCGGAGGGCGTGCTAACAGCCTGTCTGGTTGCCAGGCCTCCTCTCCCCCTCCAAGGCTGGGGCTTCCAAAATTGCCCTCTTTAGGACAGAGGAATTTTCTGTTCCATCAGGCTTTGCTCACCAGAACAAAAAGTGGGAATACGGCTAGAACCCGAAAGATAGAATGCAGATTTTATTTGCTTGATTGGTAGCAGAAAAATATATCTTCAGATACTCCGTATGCCATCCACTTATGTATAGTAAGTAGCACCTGCACTGCCCCACCTGCATCATATCTACTATCATTTAAAACAATGCTTTTAGCACGAATGGCAAAGGGATATGAATAACGGGAACACAGTCAGACATCACACCTACAATGCACACATGCACATACATGCACACAGACACTCTGAGTCTGCATGAGCCACAGCTTGGAGGATAGGTTAGCAGTCCAGCCCCAAAGCCACGTGCCTGGGCCCTGGGCCTGGGTCCACCTGCATGCGGGTCCCATCTGCAAAGTGGGGATGAGAAGTAGTGCAACCATCAACCAGGGCTGGTGTTCCTGCCATGGAGACAGCCCGTCTGGGCTCAGCATGGTGCCTAGCGGGCAGTGAGGGCCCACCAATGTTGGGTGCTTTCCCGACAAAGAGCTCTGGCACCTGGCATTTGCGAAGGAGAGACGTCCTCTGTGTTGCAGGCCTTAGTCCTCTTTCCGGGGGACTGTTTGAGGCAGGGCTCCCCTCCTCCCATGAGGCCGACTGGCTGCCCCATGGGCAGGGCCTGGCCAGACCAAGAGAGTGATGGCAGGCAGGCTCACCACCAGCACTCATCTCTGGACTCGGGGAGCAGGCATTTCACAACATTCATAAGTAACGGCCTTCTCCCCTCTTCTCAAAACGATTACGTCAACCCAAGGAGTCTCTACAGGGTGGAGGGATAATAATGCTGCAGTTTAATGAAATGTCAGCTTGTCTGAATCAGAAGCGAGCCAGTCTAAGTGAGTCTCTTGCATGGCTCTGTCTGTCTCCACCTCCTGCCTGCCTTCCTTTACCGGTCCGGGTTTTTCAGCGTCCAATAAAGCACAACCATGTAGTTCCCAGTCGAGACAGTCAGCCTCCTTGGGTGTGTTTTTGTTGTTTATAAAATAAGCCAATCATTGTCACCTAGTGGATCAGATTAGGTGTAATCCATACTAATGTTCAAATTAAGTCATGGAAAGCAATTACCTCCACAAAACTGGGCTGGTGAAAAATGATAAGGTTGGTCAAATAGTTTCACTGTGCATAATTGCGTTTTTTAAAATGCCCATCTCCACACAGTAATTAAATCATTTACATTTCAAATGGAGTGTACCCGCCCCAATGCTTGTCATTGTGCACTCCTAATTGTGCACCTCGCAGTGTAGCAGGGATCCATCAGCCGCCTGCTACGGAATGTCTGCCTCCTCGGGAAACCAGCTGGGTGGAACGTGCCCCAGTAGAAGCGTACTGCCTGCTCAGAAGAACCAAGAAAACTGTGCTCTGCCCCATGTTGTCCCAGATTTGAACCCCTCCCTCCTCCCTCTTGCTCCTCCCTCCTTCCAGCCTTCTTTCCTGCATAAAAAAGTGCACAGGATTTCCTCAAGCAATCATCGACTATTCTGTTCGCAGCACAAGATGCACTTACTCTTTCGATCACATCATCCGTAGCAGGGCCACAGTCAAAAACCTCGGGGCGACATTCATGGGATCAACTGATATCTGACTTCACTGTTTGCACTTTATTAGTATCACTTTTAGCTCTAGGGAAGATGCCCACCCACTTCGCCAACTGTAGACTGAGCGCACTGGCCGCCTTCCAGGGTGTGGCTGTCTATGCAGCCAATTCTCAGATTATGGAGGGATGAAATGCTACCTTGGGTCTAAGTGAATGTGGCCCTAAACCTGTGTTCCTATTCCTCAGAGAAGGATCATTCAGTGAATCCAGAGCAAATGCTTCAGTCAAGCAGGACCCCGTGGGTCTTCTTGCAAGGGAACTTTCTCTGAAGGATGAAGCCCGAAGACTGACCTCCTGTCTCTCCAGCCCAGGGTGGTTTTCCCTCCCTTTCGAGCAGGGACGCGTCTGTGGAAGTTAGTAGGATGTGGCAAAACCTTGCTTCTTGGCTCGAGGTGGGGTTGCAATCACCTGGAAGACCCCAGACTAACTGGGTGCCAGCCCGGACTCATACTGTCCAAAGGTGGAGGTTCATTTGCTGGGTTTCCAGCCGGGGGCTTCTGCCCTCCTGGGGGCCGTAGGGATACTTGAGCCCTGGAAAAGGGTCGGGCGAGGACAGGATGTAGTCAATGCTGAACTTGATGCCCCTGGGCTCCTCCTTCCCCGTGGCAGCGCGGCTAACAGGGGCCGGGGGCTGGCGGTGAGGGGCTGGCTCAGGCGGCCCCGGAGGCCCCTCTACGCCCCCCGCCCGCGCCTCCCCTTCCCCCTCCCGCTTGGGGCCACGGCGCCGGCGCCGCCGCCGGTAGTTGCCATTCTCGAAGAGGTCCAGCAGCGACTCGCAGCCGCCAGCGAACGTCCAGTAGTTGCCCTTGCCCTTCTCGTGCCCTTCCGTCCGAGGCACCTGTGGGAGAGGGCGGGGCTCCGCGAGGGGCTGGCTCCCGGTGCGCTCCTGCCCACCCCTCTCCGCATCTGGGCTCACTTAGGACTCCAAGACAAGCAGTGGATAGGTCCCTGTCCTTGCGGTGTGTGGCGTTGCTCATGGAGCACACTGGAGGCACTAAATTTGCTAAAAACGAACTTTCCAGCAACTGCTGCCGCAAAATCCTCCCCCGCGCCCAATCAAGGTGACTTGGCCCAGGAGCCCCCAAGCTTGGGACACTCGGGGGCCATTCCGGGGAGCGGGGCCGGGGCGGGGTCTCACCTTGACAAAGCAGCTGTTGAGGGACAGGTTGTGGCGGATGGAGTTCTGCCAGGCGCGCTGGTTGGCTCGGTAGTAGGGGAACTTGCGCATGATGAAGTCGTAGATGCCGGACAGGGTCACCCTGCCCGAGGGGCTCTGCTGAATGGCCATGGCGATCAGCGCGATGTAGCTGCAAATAGGGGCGCATGGGGCCACGCGGGGCGGAGGAGGGGACGCCGCGGTGTCTGGAATCCCCTGCAGCCAGGAGCCCCTCTAGGAGCGCACAACTCCTCCGCGCCCGGGGCTCCGTGGTGTGTGGGAGGTGCCGGCGGGAAGGGGTTTTTGGGGAGCGAGAACTCTGGAGTTCCCCGCTCCCGGCTTCTGCCCAGACCCAAGAAGCTCATCTTCACACTTGGGAGTTTCCTCAGGGAGGTTGAGAGAACATGCAGAGGAACGTGTCCCTTCTCTGAATCCCACCCCCCACCCCGCCCTCCGGAGAAGAAAGCCCTCCCTCCGTCCCAGGAGGTCCGTGAGGAGGAGGGTCCCCGGCCCGCCGGCTCCCACCACGCACCCCGCGGTCACCTGTACGCCGGCCGCGTGAGCCGCTTCTCCTCATCCGAGCTGCCGGCTGGGTAGTCGTCGGCGTCGTAATTGAAGCAATTGTAGGGATACTGTGAGCTGTCAAACATCTTGGCGCACCCGGCGCCCGCGGGGACCACCGCTGTCTTTGCCACCTCCTCCGCGCCGCCCGCCAGCCCGCCAGGTCTTTGCTGAGGTCCTCCCCGGCGCGGGCCGGCAGCGTCCGCACTGCGGGCTGTTCTACGCCCGAGCTGGGAACCTGGGCTTCTGGGGTCCCCCACCCGCGCCCACCCCGTTCTCTCGCATCCAATCCCAGCGCGGGGGAGGCCCCAGCCACCAGGAAAGCGGCTGAGGGGAGCTGAGCGGGGCTCTGGGTGACCCTCTGACCGCCCGCGGACCGAGGGGGGAGGGACTGGCGCGCTGGGTGGTCTGACAGGCGGGGCGCCACCCCCCCTCCTCCCGCTCCCGCCCCGGTGTGCGTCGCCGCGCTCCCAGCGCGGGCCCCACATTTCGAGGCAGGGTCGCTGGGTATCCCTCCCACCTGCCCCCCCCCCCAGCCAGAGGTGGGGCTCCCCGTGGGCTCCCTGCACTGGCGGCTGTTTCCTCAGAGCTCGCGGGTCTGTGCGCCCTGGGCGCGCACCGAGACGCTAGGTTCTTCCCTGGCGCCGGATCCCAGGGTGGACCCTCGGGTTGCCGGAACAGAGCCATGAGCCAGGCCACAGACAGGGCTGGGACTGTTGCCTCCCCCACTACCAGGCTCGGCCCCACCTCCTGCCCCAGAGCAGCAGAGTCCAGGCAGGATAGTTTGGGCCCTGCTGGTGTGTCCCTGCCTGGAGCACTGGATCAGAGCCCCGTCAGAGACACAGGCTCCAGCATTTCCTCCAAGGCCCTGAGTCCCAGCGGCGCTGTCCCTAACTGCCCAGAAGGCTGCCTCCTCCAGGTCCCAGCCAGCCGGTAAGGGAGCCCCTGAGTGCCTGGGGCACAGAGCTTTCAGTCCTGGGAGCACACTTCACAGCTTAGCCACTACTTTACCAGTCCCTTCTAGCTCCAAAGCTGTGGTTCCTTGTATGGGTAGATGCATGCGGAAGAGAAGACAAGGTACGGGAATTTTAGGAAAAAGAATGAGGTGGGATCTTGCCAGGCAGGGTGTGGCAGGGGGCGGGGGTGGGGGGGGGAGTGTCTGTTTCACAGTGGATGTGCCACTGAAGGCATTTCCATGAATAATCTGCAGAATTCTGAACTGACCCATGTCTGTGAATCTGCCTGAGGTCAGGAAGTCTGGATAGTCTTTTTCCAGAAAATTCTCCCTTCAAAGCACAACCTTGAGCTCAGAAATGACCTGTGTTCAGTCCAGCCAGTTGGCCCCATGAGGGCTTGATGCTACCCACGACCCTTGGTGAGGAAGGGTGGGCAGGCCTGACTTGGTGCAGCCAGGTTCCCCCAGCACCACCCGGGAGGCTGTGCAGTGGCCCTTCGGCTTGGGCACCACGGCTGGCTTCTGCTGAGGATCAGAAGCACACTGGGGCTCAAACACATTCAGTGGCTCCATGTTGTCCTCTCTGCCAGATGTCAAAATTATATTTGCTGGACTGTGGGAACATAAAATGGTACAGCCCCTCTTGAAAACATTTTGGCAGTTTCTTTAAAAATTAAACACGTGACCACGGTGTTAACCAGCAATTACACTCTGGGGCATTTATCCCAGAGAAATGGAAAGTTAAAGTCACAGAACACCTGTGCACACATACTCACACAGTTTTTTTGGTCACGTCCCCAAACTGGGACTTGCTCAGACGTCCTTCCACAGGGAAATGGCTAAACAAGCTTCCATCCCCTCTACACCAGGGGACACCTCAGCAATGCAAAGCAACCAACCACTGATACAGCAGCAGCCTGGATGGATCTCCAACTAAGCGCAAAAGCCAGCCTCAAGGGTTACATACTACATGCTGCCATCTATAGACATTCTTGAAAAGACAATATGATAAAATGGGGAACACAGTGGTTTCCTGGAGTTAGGAGGAGGTGCGGGCAGGAGAGAAGTGGTTGCAGTGATAACAGGATGACACGAGGGGCCCTTGCGACCTTGCCACGCTCTGCGTGTGCTGTGTCAATGTCAAGGTCTTGGTCGTGGGATTGTGCGTTATACAAGATATCACCATGGGGGGAAACTGGGTAAAGGGTACATGGGACCTCTGTTTTATTTCTTACAACTGCATGGAATCTACCGTTATCTCAAAATAAAAAAGTTTAATTCAATAATCTGCAGTGGTCTTGGAGACCCAAGATGTCAAGCGGTGAGAATGAGATTTGAGGCAGAGCAGTCTGCGCCAAAGAGAGAAACACATCACCTCTGCTCAGCAGGGGTTTTCTCTGCCAGTTCCTGTTCTTGTCCTCACCCTTCCCTCCACGGCTTTCCGTCAAGCTTCAGGTGCCTCCTCGGAGAGCCTGGGTTCTGAGGCTTGCCCTCCCAGGAGCTGCACGGCCAGGCAGAAGCAGCGGGAGCAGATGTGATGGGCCTGGAGCTCTGTCCTGGCCAGCGAGGTCAGCCAGCATCAGGGGACCCTGTGTACCGGGCTACAAGAAGGACCTTGAAGCCTGTCACACAGATGATGGACAAGCAGGAAACAACATGGCTACCTCACCCCAGCCTTCCACATCTTGGCGGAGGCTCCGGTGGCCACTCCAAACCTGAACCTCACGAGGAGGGGAACCCTGAGCTGGAGTAGCCCAGAGACTCTCAGGGGAGCCATCGTCTCAAGGCCCAGGTCATGCCTGGCACATTTAGCACCTTACACCTCCGTGTGAGCTGGACCTTCCCCTGAAAATGGTCCCTTCCCTTGGAAAGGCCACATACCAGCCTGTGGAGAAATAGATGACAATAATCCCAGGCCCTGCGTCCCACAGCTGGTGACGATCAGAGCCCAAGTGTGAAGCCACTTCTAATTAAGAGCTCTCATTACTAAAAACCATGCTGTCTCCCACATGTCACTTCCAAGGGCTGATGGAAAACACTTAATGTCATAAGAACATGACGTGGAGGCAGCCTCCCCTCCGAGCTACCAGCTGGGCTCCTTTGCTTGGGGTGGGCATTTGGTCCCACACCCCGTGATGCACTTTGTGACACCCCTGGTGGAATCTTGCTTCTTGTGTAAAATCAGACACATTCAACGAGATGGCTTGTTCTGCTGGAGTCTGTGGTACTCTCTCTGCCAACGTGTCTGTCTCGCAGGCTTTCTGAGAGTTGGGTTTGGGGGTGGCTGAGCCGACAACTTCCAGCTCAGGCTCTCTCTCTGCGGCCGGGGGTGTGTCTTCTGAAAGTTTGACGGGCTGGAGGCCCCCCTCCAAGCAGCCTTCCGCCTGCCTCGTGTGCTGGTACCAGCTGCTGGCCCGGGGGCCTCCAGTCCTCACCACGTGGGCCCCTCCATCCAGCCACTCACAACAAGGCAGGTAACTTCCCCTGCACAGGAGATCTGAGAGAAGGAGAGGCAGGGGCCCAGGGTCTTCCAGGACCTAGTTTTGGCAGGGGCCTGTATGTCTACTGGTCTCAGAGACCAACCTGGTGCAGCACTGAGGGGCTTGCAGGGGTGTGATTACCAGGAGGCATGGACCGCAGGGGGCCCATGGGAAGTGGGAACCCTTGACTCCAGTGGCGGGGACAGCATGGGGTAGAGAATCAGCAAGTGCCAGAGCACCATGGAGATGAGGACCCAGGTGTAGAGCCAGCCAGCTGGGTGCCAGGGCTCAGGGTGGGGAAAGGAGGTGCCTCGGAGGAATGTTACAAGTTCAGTGCATGAGACGAGTGGTGAGGTCGGCGGGGACTGAGCCATGCCAGGTTGCTCATCCGCAGTGTTCACTGAGGACTTACCACAAGCCAGGAACTGGGCAGAGCGAAAGGCACTCCTGGTCCTCACATTGCTCCCAGCCTAGTGGGGAAGCAGAGGATCCCAGAAAGAGAAAGGACAGTATGTACCCATGACAGGGCATACTGAGATGGCCAGGAGAAGCACCAGGAAACTCCCCTCCCCTGCTGGAATGCTTGAGCAGCGCTCAGAATAGGAATTAACAAAATATGGTTGGTGTGGGGCAGAGAGCTCCAGGCTGGGAGGCTGTGCAAAGGCCCTGTGGCACCACAGAGGGGGTGCCTCTCCAGCCTCCACTGCCTTCCGCATGAGCCCCAAATGTCTTCTGTGTCTGGATGTGTATCTTGGTGCACAGAGCTTCCACTCAATTGCCATCGAAGAACGACCCATTCGTTCTAGGGTAGTGTTTGAATGGCAGGCACTGTGCTGATCCTGGTGGGACAGTGAAGAGCGAGTCTGATGGGCCCTTTGCCCGGGGCCACTCAAGGCCTGGACACGGTAGGACCAGCTGGCCTGGTTGGGGCTTGCTGATGGCCTGCCTGGCTGAGAGAGCCACGTGCCAGGCAGCTGAGGGTCCCCATGTCCCCTCTGCTTCGGAGGTCCTGGATTCTGGTCCTGAGGACCACGGGGCTCCTGAAGGGGCTCACTGGGCCCTGCGGAGTGGCTCTTGCTTTTCTCGGGCTCTCCTCTAGATGGTGCAAGTGGACCAGTCTTGGGCAGTGTTCCTGGCGCCCCCTGCCCACCCCCCCCCCAGGGGGGAACCTTTCCAGGATGACGGTGGCCACAGGACATATCTGGCTACAGCAGTCAGCGTGGTGAGGAGAAGTAGCCTCCTAGAGCCCTGGGACCCACAGGGATGGCCACACCAGGGGCCTCAGGTGGACACAGCAACCTAGCCTGTTCTGGGCTGAGGCACCAGTGTGTACCCCACCGAACCCCACCTGGCAGCTTACCTCTTTAACAGCTTCACCCCATTGCCCCGTTAAAACTGCCAGGCCAGGAGCTGTCCTCACCCCTCTGAGACAGAGTGGACATTGTTCCCAGCTCCCAGGTGGGCAAGTCCCAGCCGGCTCTGAACGTTTCCTTCCAAATGCCAGCTCCAAGAAGAGTAAGAAAGACCCCTCCGTGCCTATGGGGACCTCCTCCTCCCCACATGGGGGGCTTTGGGATTCTGCTCTCCCATCTTCCTTCACCATTCACCACACCTCACACCCAGGCACAGGCTGCTTGAGACCTTCTTTGCTTGA